TCACCCCCTTACTCTATCACTCTGTTCTCTCCTATGGAATTGGACTGACCATTCCCTACCCAGGCCATCCCCAGTCAACAGCAGGGATCATGTCCTTCTTCCACCCAAGGCCATCACCCCTCCCCACTTCCCCCTAAATGGCATGGACCCTTCAAGGTAATTCTTGTGACCTCCATAGCTGCTAAGCTCAAGATCTTTCCTCACTGGATTCACTTATCTCTCTTAAAACCTTTTACCTCACCCCTACCCCAGGGTCATTCCTCCTCATACACAGTGATGTAAACAGGGCCCTGCTCTCTTAAGTTCTAGAGGACACAGAGATCAACTGCCTGTTTCCAATTCCAGAAGAATAAGGCTTCATCCCACAACTGTACTCAACTCCACTGGATTGGGGACCCCATATGTTTCTCTTCTTGATTCCCCCTCTGCATTCTCCTGTCTCTACTGATCACATTCTGCTTCATCAGTTCCCACCCCGTCCCCCATCTCTAATAACATATTCAAATTTCGAATTAACTACTCAGCTCACTATTATAGGACCACCATCAGCCACAGAGCTGGAGATGCAAGGACCATCAAATACACCCCGGTGGTAAGAAACAGTAACACTCCAGAATTATTCACACCCCCAGACTCCAAAGGGTCTGAACTCTGCAAAACAGACTTTAATACATCAAAGTTTGTTATTGTTAGCTGCCCTCAGCAATCCATCACCTGTGTCTCCTGGATGCTGACGTGATAGGGCAATAATGAAAGAAACAGACGCCTTAAGGTTTGTCTTAGGTGAAGACAGGAAGCCTAATTGATAATAACAGAAACAAAATAAAGCAGTTCCAGATTCCTCTCTCTCTTTGCTACATGACTCCATAATTTTAGCACTAACCAATAAAATTCTGATATCAGAGTACTCAACACTATAATATCATAGCTACAAGTTCAGGATTTAAATTCCCTTTGGTCACTTCTTAATATGTCTAAATTTGTCTCCTTCGTAAACTTAAAAATTCTTCTGAGCTCCAGGGAGTTGACTTGGACCCACCCAGACAGGTCAGATCCACTTCAGATAAGTATCATTCAAACTTTCCTGGTCTTGCGACCCCCTCCCTCATCCTTAGGGTGCCCCTCGTCTCCTCCCCCACCAAGTACCAGGATCTAAGAAAAAATATTTTCTAAACTTCAACTTGTGCCTCACCGGCATCCTGTCAGGCCCAAGCTGTAAGAGCCAAGCAACAATGGATGATTGCCCAGGGCTCAGAACAGCAGTGAAGACAATCAGCTATCTCAGGACAACTGGCTACCTTGGAAAAAGTCCCCTGCCCACGCCCCCATTAACTGATGCCCACCAAGTCAGCTGGGAGCAGTTCCAAGAGACAGGACGCCCCAATTCTCATTCACCCACCACCCCTAATCCCTTACTTTTTATAATAACAAAGAGGGTGGAATGTTACTATTCCTAGCCACTTCTGGAGTCACATGACCGCACGTGTGGTGTCAGCAGTCAGGCAAAATGCTTAGTCACTCCAGGGCCTTACATCCTATGTAATCTGTGCATAGCATGGTCAAGTAATCTGCGCAAAGTGTGGTCACGTAAGCCATGTGCATGTGTGGCATAGCTATATAAGCCCATATGTGCATCCCTGAGGCGACCTACAAAAGCAGACTCCACCCTGCCCTCTCTGCACATTTCTCTCTGGGAGACCTACTCATGTCTATCCCTTCCTTTCCCTAATAAATTCTCTTATAGTGGGTTCTGTTGTGCCTCATGTTCTCTTGTGCCCTGTAAATAACACTGGGGACCCAACGCCTCCCTGGGCTGTGGTTATCACTGTAGGGTAAAAGGGCCAGTGAAAGAACACCCTGTCTCCAAGACCAGAGCCAAAGAAACACACTCTGCCCCTAACCAAGTTCAGGACTTGAAATCTCACCAATCCCTGAACTTGGCTCAGAGTCTGTCCATGGTTTCCCCGGCAAAGTGTTAACAGCCCTTGCTCTGGGAATGGTTTCCTTAATGCAAGTGTAAGAATTCTGCTCCAGGGGAGGGGTTTACAGCTCTGCCCTGCTCCAGCAAAAGAGCGATTACAACAGACCTCACTCAATAGATTTATTGGGAGGGAAAAATCCAGCAGAGTATTTGTCTCTGCTAGGGTGAAAAGCAGTGACAAACTGGACAGGATACAGAGCTTATATTGTTTCTTGGGGGCGGAGCTTTCCAGCTCTGGGAAACCTTTGGCCATCCTGCCCCCACCAAGTTCCCAGGAGTCTGTGATTATACACTATGCTAGGACAGCCAAGGACACTTCCTCCCAAAGTCAGTGTCCTTTAGACATGAAAGTTCCTCCAAATGGCTCCCAGATGTTCATCTTTCCAGGGACTCAACTAGATAATACACACATATACACAGAGAGAAACACACACACAGACACACAGACATGCACACACAGACACACATAAAGACATATACACACAGAGACATAGACACAAACATACTACACAGACACAAGATACACAAACACAGACACACAGAGAGAGACACATAGACACACACACAGACACAGACACCCACATAGCACACAGACACACGTACAGCATATGGACACACACACAACACACAGAAACACAGATACAAACACAGAAGCACACAGGCACACACACAGAGAAACACACAGACATGCTGCAAGCTGCAGGAAAATGTAATGGAATCCAGCTTCTATCACAAAAGCTATTACTTGGAAAGGTCAAGGACTTTTCCGAAGGGCAATCCATGGCTTAAGAAGTCTTGGTGATATTTTAGCTTTTGTATACATATTAGCCGATTCCTGCAATGATTTTCTTATATGCTATGCATGCTTCCAAGAACTCCTAACAGTGTATTTATCTGATATTCTTCTCAAGCACCCTCGGCCGTAACAGCAACCGAGGCGTAATGTAGCTGTGAGGCAGACTTCCCAGCTCTGGCAGTGACCCCGCCCTGCCAGTGTATGGTGGCATAGGAAAAGAGAAGTTTTGTTTTAGTGACTTAGAGACTACCCACATGTGGGATTGTAGTTTGAGCACATTTATGACAGACTCGTAACATTTCACCTAACCACTTATAAGAATATATTTTGAGCACATAAATTCCCTTTCCGACTTATTCCAGGACTTATCGATCTACCTCTATTCACTCCCCTTTTGGGTTGCGGATGAAGCTGGCTATCACGGCTCTGGTAGGGAGCTTGGAAACTTTGCTTGGTATTGGAAGAGTCAGGCTGCCGGTGAGATGGAGACCAGTGCTGGGAGATGGAGGGGAAGGAACCATGATGGAGAAGAACGAGGATGAATGCCAAGGACAATTTTAAGAGGCATGCCACAGTGCCTGCCTGAGTTAAGTTTCTGTTGTCCAGTATTGGGCCACTAACCAGAAAGTTTTGACATGCCTGGACAAGTCCAAGTTACTAGAAAATAACTTAACATTTCCTTATCTTTCTGCTACAGTGACCATTAGTAACAATGTTTTGTGGTTAGGTTGCTTGGTTGGGTTGCTTGGCAACTCAACAGTCCCCTGATCTTTTCCCAAAGAAAGTTTCCTGGTCTGCTTACTATAAAACCCACCTGAGAAAAATAAAATTTTGCAGCTTGATCAGAATACCTGTCTTGCTGTCAATTCTTTGTGTCTCTTATCCCTTCCTGTCGCGTCTGCCTCGACCAGCAAGGAAGACGCAACACCAGGCTCTTCTACAAGCAGTTTATTCAGGAACCTTGAACAATCTTCTGACCCCGGGGAAAGCCATCTTCTTCTTCTCTCTCTCCTCCTCCTCTTGGGGAAAGCCAGCCCACGCCCTTTATAGGCACTGGGCAATCAACCCTGTAGTGCCATGTGGACAATGCCGATAGGGTCAGACATACACAAGCAAGCCAGATTAGGTCCAGGTGTGCGGAAGCAAGCCAGATCCTAGCCTTAGCCAAATAAGGAGTTGATTATCCCAGAGAACACTTGCCATCGGGAAGGCGGAAGCCGGATGCCGGCGCCATCTTTGCGGCGCGGCCGTACACGGCTCTCTACACCTTTCATTCACCATTCCCCCTTCTAGGGTCTCTGCTCAAGATCCCGCTGGCCAGGACAGATGAAGAAGAGGATGGAGATGGAAAAGAGTTAGAGTTGTGAGAGGACAGGAGGAGAAGGGACAGAGAGGAGCTAACTACAAGAACAGAAAAGAAAACGTGTAGAGAGAAAACTGACTCAAAAAAGAATAAAGCGTATGAACTAAAGGGTTACATGTACATAGATTCATTTAATATCATCAAAGATTAGATTATCAGCTGGTCACAGATTCTTCCCAGACCCTGAAAGGGCTTTCAAGGAGCTGGAATCCCATAGTCCCTGTTACAGACACATGTACAAAGACACACGTTCACACAGAACCACATGCACAGAAACACACAAACACACATACATTACACAGACTCACATAGGCATACACATAGACATACAAACATACACCACACAGACACACAGACACAGAAGCACACACACCATGCAGACACACACAAGACACATACACAGACACTCAAACACACACACACAGACACTCAAACACACACACAACATACAGAAACACAGATACAAACACACAGAAACACACAGGCACACACAAAGACGCATACACAGAAACACACAAATACATATATTACGCAGACATATATAAGCACACACACCACACAGACACAGAAACACACATACACACATGACACAGACACATGCAAGCACACACACAGACACACACAGTCCCATACACAGACACACTCATACACCACACAGACACACACCACACAGACCCAGATACACACACAGCACACATACACAGGCACACATAGACACACAGAGACACATACATGTAAAGACACACACACACTCACATACCAACAGACACATAGACACATATTTACACGCCCCAAATTCCCTCATGCTGCCCTCCACAGCACAGGGACATAGGAGGTCCCTCTCCCTGCCCATCACTCACCCGCACAGGTGCCCAACAGCTCCTCCAGGAGCAGGTACTTTAGTGACAGCTGGACTAGGACTAGGGCTCTGGGTTCCAAGGACAACATGGTCTTCATCTGCCTTCATGAATCATCTGAGTTCTCTGCAGATTCAAAGCCAGACACGCTTCTCTTCTGGGTCCACCCAGCCCCGGATGCCAACAACTGAAGTGTGTCACAGAGGGTGGAGCAGATCTGGCAGCAGGTGAACAGCTGGCTGGTGGGAGAACAGCTGGTGTGGGGCTCAGTGGAAGGTGAGAGTCGCTGATACAGTGAGAATGCTGTGGGGTCAGGCGGCCCTGATTCAAATCCTCTACTTCCTCTCCCTGAAAGCATTAAAGCTTTCCTTTACAGCTATCCCCACTGCATCTCTGCAATAAGCAGGAAGGTTTCTTCTTGACTTTTTCTTTTTTTTGAGGTAAGGTTTCTCGGTGTAGCTTTGGGACCTGACCTGGATCTCTCTCTGTAGACCAGGCTGGCCTCGAACTCACAGAGATCTTCCTGACTCTGTCTCTCAAATGCAGGGACTAAAGGTGTGTGCTACTACCACACGTTCTTCTTAATATTTTAATCAGGAGTCTGGAATACATATAAACCCCTCATCAACCAGAAACCTGCAATTCATTATCCACTTCTTGTATCAAGATTCCATAGACCACTCAAATATTTATTTACACACACATGCTTACACAGGACTCAGGCAACTTCTGCTTGGGATTCCCTTCTGCAACCACTAAAGCAAATGATGTAAGCTCTTTGCTAATAACTTGTTGAGAATTAATAAAGCCATGAAAGATGGGGAATTTTGAAACAATTTAGGTAATTGTTGTTTGATCTTTGGGTTTAGCTATAATGCTGTCTGGATTGGGTTTAGCCCCTGGGACTGAGCTCACCACCCACTGCTGCTGAGCAGAACCTGCCCAGCCTGGACTTAAGTATTTTTAAAGCAGAAAAATAAAGTAAAAAAATATTTTACACACACACACACACATACACACACACACACACACACACACACACACACACACACACACACACACACACCCAGGAGAGACAGTAGGCAGTTCATATAATTTCTCACTAGTTTAGAAACTCAGGGAGTAAGGGTGGTGCTGCACACCTTTAATCCCAGAATGTTTTTAATAAATGAATTTATTTATTTATTATGTATTTATGTGTCATTTATTTTACTTCCCTGGCACACCCATCTCCTGGGGGAACAGAGAAAGTCACGAAGCCAGCACAGCTGCTTGAGAAAGCTCCAGCAAAGCTGAGCCACACACTATGATTGATAGTTGACCTGAGGCCCTTTACTTTTGATTGGAATCTCTGTGTGTTACACTCTTGGTGGGCTATTACTGTAATGCTTCACCCATGTCTTTTCTGGGGAAATTGTTTCTGTATCTTCCTGAAGAAGTCTTGAATGTACTACCCCCTGCTTTTAGGGAAGTAACCTTAGTTGATCACACTTGGGAGTCTTCTCTGTGCCTTGGAGATTGGTATCTGCTCATATGCAAACTCAAGAACAAATAGAACCTTATAACTTCAGAGGAGGCTGACAAGGTTGAGCAGGATAGGAGAATTGACAGCAGATCAGTGTAGCTGGACTTTCTCTGGTCCTTCCTTGCCCAGCAGTCTGGACGAGTCACTCCCACCCAAGGTCCCACAGTCTCCTATAAAATAATTATTCAGAGGCTTATATTAATTGCAAACTGTATGGCCTATGGCTTCAGCTTCTTGCTAGCTAGCTTTTTCATATTAAATTAACCCATTTCTTTTTTTTCTTAAGAAATTTTTTATTCATTTTACATACCAATCACAGATCCCCCTCTTTCCTCCTCTTTCCCCTACAACCTTCCCCACCCAACCCTCATTCATTTCTACAAGAAGGTAAGGCCACCCATGAGGAGTCAGCAGAGCCTGGTACATTCTACAGAGGCAGATCAAAGCCCCTCCTTCTGCATCAAGGCTGTTCAAGGTGTCCTACCATAGGTAATAGGCTCCAAAAAGCCAGCTCATGCACCAGGGGTGGATCCTGATCCTACTGCCAGGGGCCCCTTAAACAGATCAAGCTACACAACTGTTTTGCTTATGCAGAGGTCCTAGTCCAGTCCTATGGAGGCTCCACAGGTGTTGGTCTAAATTTCATGAGTTCCCACTAGTTTGGTTTGGTTGTTTCTGTAGGTTTCCCCATCATGAGCTTGATGCCCTTTGCTCGTAGAATCCTTTTTCTCTCTCTTTGACCGGATGGGCTGGAGGGATAGCTCAGCCATTAAAGGCTAGCTCACAACCCAAAATTAACCCATTTCTATAAATCTATATGTTGCCACATGGCTGTGGTGTTGGTCTGCTGACATCTTGTAGCTCCTTGGATGGTGTGTTTGAGTATATCCTAACTCCACCCTTCTTTTCTCTGTATCTCTGCTTGGATTTCCTGCCTGGCTGTAAGCTTTCTTGCCATAGGCCCAAACAGCTTTATTTATTATCCAATAGGAGCCACACATATGCACAGCATGCAGAAAAACATCCCATAGCAGATCAGAGCACATAACTCCTTTTACAGTATGCTTAGAACTTCTTAGAACATAATCTATAAGATGAAAGACCACATATATTAAGCCTCTAAAGAGAATTCAGCAATGAGAGCTAGAATGACTTGGATAACATAATAGCACATACAGGTGGTGTAAGAATGACATAGGATATAAGAAGAGTAAGGTTAAATTAGAATTTGTCATTCCTAAAGATTGATTTACGTCAAGTAGCTATGCTGTTCATTTAGAAACAAAAGAATTCTTTTATTTAGCAAATTCCTATTAGGCTATAAATTAAATATTATAAAGAACTGAATAATAGCTACAGCAGTTCCTAAGCCTGAGTAAATTCTCAGGCTTAGGCTAATTTGCAAGTAATATGATTGACCATTAAAAGTTAATAAAATACTGCTCAAAGCATGGTGATTCACCTGGACTGAATCAGATGTTTTCTAAAATATCTTGAAACCTCAAACTACTGCCAGCTGGAGAACAGGATGCTCTATTATGCTGTTCAAGCTGAAATGATTAGTAGAATTCTAGCAATAGGGATATAGAATAGATGATAAAATCTGTTCTATCTGTACTTAAACTATAACCCTGGGCATACCAGAGAAGTATGCCTGGGACAAAATGATGCCATCTGTATCTCTTTAGAAATCTTGAATCTGTACAAATAAAGAAATTTTCCAATTGCTAGTCAGTCAGATTTGCAAAGTCTTCCCATCTGGGTTTCTGACTCAACCTTCCCCTCTTCTGACCCTAATATCTTTTCTGGAATCTGTTCACTGCAGAGGGCCCTCTCCCAATTGCCACAATTCCCCTCCCTCCTCTCCGCCCAGTCCCTCTCCATTACCTCACCTCTGCTCATCCCCATCCACTCCCCCTCCATTTCTGTTTAGAAAAGGGCAGGCCTCCCATGAGTATCAGCAAAACATGGCATATCAAGTTGCAGTAAGACTAAGCACCTGTCCATGTATTAAGGTTAGGCAAGGTGACACAGAATGAGGAATAGGGTGACACAAGCCTGTAAAAGAGTCCAAGACAGCCCCTGCTCCCACCGTTAGGAGTTCCACAAGAGGACCAAGCTACACAACTATAATATGTATGCAGAGGGACTAGGTCAGTTCCATGCAGGCTCCCTGGTTGTCAGTTCAGCCCCTCTGAGCCCAGGTTAGTTGATTCTGTGAGTTTTCTTGTGGCTTCCTTGACCCTCTGGCTCCTACACTCCTTCCTCCTCCTCTTCTGCAGGATTCCCTGAACTCCACCTACTGTTTGGCTGTGGATCTGCCTCTCTTAGGACAACTGGGATAGGCACCAATCTGGTCACAGGAGATGGCCAGTTCAGGCTACCTGTCTGCTATTGCTAGGAGTCTTCTCTGGAGTCTTCCTGGGAGATTCCCTCATGCCAGGGTTTTACCTGACCCCGAAATACCCTCTGCCCTCCCCTGTCTCTCCTGCCCCTGCTCTGATCCCCTCCCTCCTGTTATGCAGCCCTTCCATCTGCTTTCAGGTCACATGATTCCTTACAGCACTCCTTAGACCAGTGGTTCCCAACCTGCTTAATACTTCAACCAGTTAATACAGTTCCTCCTGTGGCGGTGATGCCAACCACAAAATTATTTTCACTGCTACGTCATAATTGTAATTTTGCTACTGTTGCAAATCACAGTTAAAGATCTGTGTTTCTCCATGGTCTTAGGTGACTCTTGTGAAAGGGTGGAGAACCATTGCTTAGACATTATAGATTGTTCCCTTCTCTCTCATGATCCCATTTCTACTTTCACGTTTCTCACACACAAATGCACATTTAGTGCACACAGGCACACACATACATATATATCCACATACATATACACACAGGTGTATTTACACACACATACACACACACACTCACACACACACGCACACACGCACACACACCCCATGCATGAGTTTATATATAGATATCTTGTATGAGAGGAAACATGCAATTTCGTCTTTCTGAGCTGGACTTTTGTGACATACTGGCTCCAGTGCTTTCAGGAACGTAGGTGTGACTGACAAAGTGCCTGACCATTTGTAACCCAAAGTGTGTTCTTTGAATCTTTCACCAACAGCTGACATGTCCATCATAAGCCAAGTTCTCAAGCCATGACACATACACTGAGCATCAAAGAGCCTGAATGTGTATCTGAGGCAGTTATTTGGATATTATATGCCTTATGACATCGGGAAACACGCCTATTGTTAGTGTGTATGTGTGTTTTATTCACCAGTGTTGATGTGTCCTGGCCAGAGGGATCTTCAACAGAGACCCCAGAAGGGGGAATGGCGAATGAAAGGGACAAGAGACACAAAGAATTGACAGCAAGACAGGTACAATGATCAAGCTGCAAAATTTTATTTTTCTCAGGCAGGTTTTATAGCAAGTAGAGCAAGGAGCTTTCTTTGGGAAAAAAATCAGGGGACTGTCGGGTTGCTAAGCAACCCAACCAAGCAACCGAACTGCAAAATATTCTTACTAGTGGTCACTGTAGCAGAAAGATAAGAAATGTTATTTTGTAATAACTCAGGACTTCTCCAGGCATGTGACAAGTTTCTGATAAGGGGCTCAATACTGGAGAACAGAAACTTAACTCAGGCAGGCAATCTCCCTCTTACAATTGTCCCCGGCATTCATGTGTGTGTGTGTGTGTGTGTGTGTGTGTGTGTGTGTGTGTGTGTGTGTGTAGGACATAGGGAGATCACGTGGAGGGCAAGGC